TTCACCAGGCATTCACCAGGCATTCACCAGGCATTCACCAGGCATTCACCAGGCATTCACCAGGCATTCACCAGGCATTCACCAGGCATTCACTAGGCATTCACCAGCCATTCACCAACCATTCACCAGGCATTCACCAGGCATTCACCAGGCATTCACCAGCAGTATTTAGTGAAAAGCATGCTCCTGAAGGCAGAACTTAGAGTTATCTAGTAAGAGTAGTTCGAAGTAAAAATTATTATGGCATGGCATTGTGACTCACCTCAATCAGAAGTCTCTGACTGGTAACTGCCTGCATGTCAGACAACCATTGCTTCACCTGACGTAGCGCTGCCTCACCCTCACCACTGCCGAAGACACGCTGCTTGTTGACCGACTCCATTCTGAGAGAGATGCCGCACTTCCAGTAGGCCACTAGCAGCCACTCTCCGTCGCTGACATTCCACGGCAGTCGCATGGAAAACTTGGACAGGGCAGTCTTCCTCCAGGCGTTGGTTTTCGTGCCGCTCTTGACGAGGAGCTGGTTGTGGCGAGTGATGCATTTCGTGCCGATTGTGAGGAACATGTCATGTGGAAAGTGGTCGTTCTCGTCGCAAGCCAGAAGAATGGCCTCGGATGTGGAGCCGCCTTCCAGCTCAGGGATAGACTCATTTTCGGTCGCAGCTGGCATGAGAAAGACTTTCTTCTTTCCATTCCTGGCCGTGGTGATTTCACCCAGGTCACACAGGATGCACAGTGTCTCCATTAGCTGCAAGAAGGTGTGGCGGTGCTCCTCATTCAACATCAGCCGGTAGAACTCGGGACTGTGCTCTTGCCATAGACGCAGGGCCAGTTCAACCGTGATGTAGCCTTGTTGGTAGAGATCAATGTCATCGCGTGATGGTGGATCCTTCACGAAATCTTCTCGCTTCATTCCAGGCTGAATGAGCGAGCCAGCCAACTTCATCACGGATGGTACGTTGATGATCACTTTATCCCGCAGTGCTACGGACTGGGGAAAGAAGAGAACGGTGCCAAGGTTGTGGTGAAAGCCCAGCATAGGTTTGACCTCATCCACTCGGCGTGCAATGCCCAGGCGGCGGGCCAGACGAAGCAGATCACCGAGCGAGATCCAGGGACTGGAGAGACGGGGATCTCTAGAGAGCTCGAGAAGTGCGAGCGTTTCCAGACCACGTGCAAGTGGGATAGCCTCTTGGTTGACACTCTCCTCAACAAGCTTAGTGCGCAGGCTTCGGATTCCAGCGTGTTCTGGCAAGAGGAAGCTACCAGAACGTGTGTTGTTGACAAACACGATGTCGTCAGACTTCAGCAAGTGGCAGTACGGTTTCCTTATAAGACTTTTCATGATGACATCACGTTCCGCATCCAGGGTCGCTCCACTGAACCAGCTACGTTGGTCGATATGCGTGCCAACGAGGAACACCCGCACGTTACTGCTACTCGGCATGTTGTGTATTGTGGCCAGGTAGTCGTGGATATACGTAAGGCTTGGCTGTCTCGGCACAGCTGCAGTGCAAGGCCGATGTTTGCCCTCGTGTCGAACCTGCATAGCACAGGAACACACCAGACACAGAGCACCATGCGTCTGGTGTTTTAACCAATAGTTTTATGCCAGGTCCTGGCAATCCTCAGACAACTGATATTTTAAACAGTGATATGTGTACGAACTTGTCTTTCTTTCAAAGAATGACATGATAGCAATCGTACTAGTTGAGAGGGAGGGGGACAGGGGACCAAAATATCTTGATTTTGAGCCTGTACCTTAGAGCTAGTGGACTGGCAATATCTGAGTATCTTGTCTTCAATTCAAGATATTTCTACTCTAGCGTCGCATCTCTTCCAGTAGAACACTGTATGCTATAGTATGGGGAAGGTCAAAATTATTGCGATCTTCTAAAGTACAGCATTCTTGGCTTTTAAAAGGTCTAGCTAACACCGAAACCCATTGTACTGTTGGCTGGTCACAGTCACTTCACAATTCACACACAAGGTGCTGGACTAGACTGCCTAGACCAAAACCAGCCCACTGTCCAACGGTCTCTCGACATCTATCAATACTTACAGTGCTCTGAGGAGTCTCTGCTTCCACAGACTGGCTTGCGTTGAAGACAATTGCATACACAGTGCGTTCAGCACCAAAGCCGATGTGCTGAAGCAGCCGATAGGAGTCCTGGCCTGCCGTGTCCCAGATGCGGATGATTTGAACTGATCCCTCAGGAATATTTGCGCTGCCATTCTCAATGAACGAAGAGGATGCCACGCGGCTTGAGATATCACTAATCACACTTTGTGGTAACTCGTTCTCGCTTGCTGCCGAGTCAGAGAATGGGCTCGTCAATCCAGAGGCATCACTTGCTAATGAAGAAGAAATGTCTGCTTTGGCCTTGCTTGCAGCAGAGTTAGCAGAATGACAGGATTCAGAAACAGATGAGGCAGAAGAAGAAGAAGAAGAAGAAGAAGAAGAAGAAGAAGAAGAAGAAGAAGAAGAAGAAGAAGCAGCAGCAGTGCACAGAAAAGCCTCTGGATCAGTTGCGGTACGGTGGATCACAGAGGCGATCTTTCTTCTGAGTACTTCCTCGCCGTCTTTGCTGGTATCCTGCTCCAGCTGATCACCATTGATGATGAACATGCTTTCATCCACTCCGACTGTGCTGTTGTCGTCCTTTCCGCGTAAGATTTTCTTGCGGCAAAGAGAGCGCGCCAGGCTGGTCTTGCCTGCACCGGCTTCACCGATCAGAATCATGCGTAGAAACGGTATTCCAATCTCCAGTTGGAGTCCGGCTGGCTTGACCATGGGTTCAGAAACTGTACACAAAGAAAACATAAAATACTTACACTTGTAGATGAATACCTATGCTACCTATGAGGTCTCTTGCCCATCTTGCATTTACGGTGGAGTGTAGCTGACAGAAGACACCTCCAATGCATGGATATGGCTTAATCAGGGTCAGAGACTCAGAAGTAGAAACCTTCGCATCCGTTTGATACATTGCACTACTTTTCGAAGTGCATGCATTCTCACATTCGGAGCATAGCGCGTAACTGCGGATTCGGGCCTGAAATAGCGCATTAAAGTGCGCAATATTCTCCGGCAAATGCGGCAATTATAATCTCTGGCTCTCCATCCGAGTCTAGTACGCACAAGTTCCAATTCCAAGTATTCATTCTGCTAACACAATCACACTTGATCACATTATACTGTGTATGGATTAAAAGACTGGTGGAACAGAAGGCACCACCCGTCTCAGCACTGGCTTCATGCTGACCAACCTTCATCAATGTCTTCTGTTACTTCCATACCTCTGTTGGAGATGGTTCTAACCAAGCATGCTCCACGGGTGTCAAGTTGCATGACTGCATAGATGACATCGTGCGCTTCAGGGACATCCGATAGCGTATGGTTACGCATTCCACCATTCCGTTTCATCTCGCTGCACACCACTTCACCTGTTGGCCACCAATGTACAAAAAAGGATCGATCCCCGGGGTCTGACATCTTGTAGCACACAGAGAGCAGAACAAAACACACATTGTTACTAAGTCTCTGTGACTGTCATGGCTGCCACGGCAACCCTGATCTCTTTTTAAAGTGTATAGCACCACACTCACATGGCCCAGTTAGTCCTTCCACAGCATCAACAAAGTTTCATGTCATGCAGTGTGCATTCTGTCACAAGTCCGTGTTTTCTTGATTGTTGTCATTCCTGGAATATGGACACGTGGGTCTACGGCAGATTGCCAAGAACCAGCTCATAGAACGACACAACAATGAGAGATTCTTCCCAGTACGACATTCAAAGAAAAGCACGCCTCACAGGAACCATATTCACAGAAAGCTTCCCACACCGAAAGACATTTAACAGCTGTATCTTTGACTGAGTGATGAACTATTGATGCACGTTCCGAGGAAGGGAGGGAGTGAGGGACAGGCAGACAGAAAGAGAGAGAAATGGTCATATATATTAGTTACCATGACAACTTCAGGAATCTAACATAAGCTTGGTTTAGATGGACAAGTCCTAAGAGGCTTGTACAAGCAGCTTCCCACACACGGTACAGAGCACCATGCATCATTCGTTGTAACTAAAAGTGTTATGCCCATAGGCAATCATCAGACAACTACTTTGACAAGTAAACTGTAGTGCTCTGTGTTGTGTGTACAATAGCTCTATTCGAATGAATAATGAGCACTCTGCCGAGCCGGAGCACTCTCATTTTACAAACAGCTTCCAAACTTTCAACTGCTCTAATAGCATCCTGTTCACGACACACCACAATAAAAATCATCATTAAACTGCAGACACTTATGAATGAATGAAGGTCAGCCTAGAGAAATGCAGAAGAAGGCCGATAAACGCACTAACAGCATTGAGCACAGCACTTTTTCACATACTTCATCCGCGTCATTAAAATTGTCGCTTCCCAGAGCAATTTTTTGAATTTAATTTGTCCACTCGAAGGGCAAAGAAATCAGCTAGAAATTGAGGCAGAGCATTGTCGACGGACCAAGCTTTAGTTTGTGGCCCACCGCTTCGCTGCACTTGCAGCTAACGTCGACGTCTTCTTCAGAGTTTGAGGCAGACCCTTCAGCACTCAACAATACGCTGAACAAGACGCGCGTTCAAATTCAGGCCAAGAAACTTTGTTTTCAAGCGATTCATGCCTCCAAGTGGCAGGCAATGAAGGCAAGCTAGCATTTTTCAAGTACACTGTAATGACCTTCCAGCGGGATAGGGTAAGCAGTTCCTCACCTTCTTTCCTTGGCAAGCGCTTCGCTAAATTTTGTTGGTGTTTTCAGACCTGCTACCTTCGCAGCAACATGCGCCACAAGTAGCGCATTTTAGGAATTTGAGACCACTTTGTTCTTGCCATCGTCAACTTCAGCATTTCGTATTCAGGAGAGATACCAGGAATCTTCTACCCGAGCTTGCAGTCTTGATAAATACCCACGCGAACGACGTGGGACGGCACGAACTCCAGAAAACGAAATGCGCTCCGGGGCGGAATAGTGCGGAGCGCGATGAATTTGCTTGGTGCGGAAAAGAGCTCCGACAAAGTCCGAGACCACCACGGCTTCAGTGACAAGTAGATATTGCGCAGGAAGGGTCGCACCAGTGTTCGAACACAGAACACACCGATTCCGACAGTCTGACTAAGACGAGCCAAGTCACAAATATTGCGATGTGCGAAGCGACAATTTTAATGACGCGGAGAAAGTACTATCACCGACAAGCGAAACTTGGCTCGTTTTTGTTGACTTCAAATTACTCGAAATAGCTCACACTTTACAATCGAAAATAATGATCGACTCACCAAAATACAACTCAACACGGATATTAGAGACATGCACATCAGTTAGGCTGATGCTCTCTTCTCTGATTTAGAGATCGCAGCTTCTTGTGGAGAGGAATTGTCCCTGTAGTGAGACGGAAGTGCGACTAGAGCGGATTCAGTTGCAGCAAGTCCTCTGCTGTGATCGCTCTGGAAATCTCGATGTCGCTTCTGTGTGCTGTGCTCGAGCCACGATGTCGAGGGTAGTCATTTCTGCCGCCACTCTCCAGGATGCAGTGGTAAGAACCGTGCAACACATTCACACACGCCAGGACTCCAACCTTTTTGCCGGGTATTTTCGTCAACAGTCCAAAATTGCCGGCTGCCGTTTTTCCTTAGCCAACAGAGACGCATCGCTCTGGATGCTATTGAGAGACGCCAGGTTGTTGATATTGACATCTGGAATCTGTGCTGGCTGAGTGACCACGTGGAGAGAGAGAAAGAGAGAGAGAGAATTCCCACAAGTCATTGACACGCGAAAGCACGACGATTCTCCTTCGCAGAATGGAAGCGCGCACCTTTGCGTTGGTACACGAGAGACTGGCCTGCCTCAGCAAACCGTCTACCTCTGACTTACCTCTGACTATGTCTGAGCTCTATGCCACTCACCAGCTCATCGCTTGGCTTCCTGCACCCGGTTGCATCAAGCTACAAATAAGTCATACCTCACACCCTTGTGGATTTGTGGTACCAACACAAAACATCGTGCCAAGTTTCACTAGTCCGAGGTAGTAGTGAATACAATAAGACAATTGAAAATGACCACATTCTGCAGTGATTGACCTTCCCTCTCACGGACCTAAGCAGAACCTACGTCATCACTGCGCTGGTCGCTATGCCAACATGATCATACAATTGGGGATGAGGCAAGTTTGGCTTATCGTATGCAAGTGAGAGATACGAATATTTCCCTTGTTTGCTTTTTTATGAAAATCAGTGTGGTGATCATTTCCTTCAGATAGACAAGGGAAAACGCTCGGAAAAGTTGTTCTATGTTTGCGGATGACTGTGTTTACCATGTTCTTATATTTATTCCTATTCTATTTATTGAAGTTAGTTCTAAGAGGCTCACCTTTGCAAGAGAGTCAGTCAGTTTAAATGTAACTTGACCAATTTCACCTCTCTCGGAGTTGAATTTGAAGGTATGCGGAGACCGATCTGGGTTAAAACAGCCGAACCCTATTGAAAAGAAACAATCCTCCGCGGGAAATCCCTAAAGGAACATACATATTTACAGATACACAGCCATACATAGCATACATACAAACATACATGAGTCACCATGCTCATACACACACACACACACACACACACACACACACACACACACACACACACACACACGCACGCACGCACGCACGCACGCACATACTCATACCCATACTCCTGCCCATCACTGATGCTTAGCAACTTGTGCTGGGATTTCACCATTCAACAGCTTGCAAAGCTGATGAATTAACCACCACTAATTTTAGCCTGGTCTAGACCACACCACTGATTGAAGTGGATTTTTCTGGCATGCACACACATGCGCATACACGTGCACGCATTCACGCACGCACGCATGCACACACACACACCCACACATATTCAATCATGTTGATAGCTAGCTGCTGTCTTAAATCCTACTCTTTTTTTCTATTTTCTTTTTTTTCTTTTTTAATCTTTTCCTTACATTTGTGTGCCTGTTTGTCTTTAGTCGATCTCATGTAATAAGGCAACACTGCCTGTTTGTTATTCGACGTTAAATAAACCAATCCAATCCAATCCAATATAAAATTTTCACACGACACAGAGCACCACGCATCATTCATTGTAACTAAAAAGTTACAACATGTAGTGGTGAAACAAGCATATCTATAACAAACGAGCGAACAGTTCCACTAACGAGCGAGCTATCGAGCGAGTTAAAGAGGAAGTTAAGCCAAAAATCAATTTTTCACCAGTTGTAGTCTTCGGGGTGCTGAGTCGAATGGTCTTGGTCCGAGGTAGCTGAGACGTTCCCTTCCTCCTTTATTTCCAATCGAGCTCGCGCACTTCCACCGAAACTGGGTGACTTCGCCTTACTAGATAGGGATTTGTATGCAAAATGTCACTAAAAGTGCCATTTCGTTCTTATAAAAGCACGAATGACCGCGATTGGCCCATATGTTGTAGTCTTTTGGACACTGAGTCGACTGGTTTTGGTTCGAAAAGGCTGCGATGCAGCGTTCTGGCCTTATTCCCAATCGAATATGGTTGAACAAGCGGTCACGTGCTCATGCGTACAGCAGTCACCTGGTCACCGCGCCAGCAGGCGACAACTTTCACACCAAGGTTCAACTCCAGTTCAGGTTGAGTGACAGGAATGCACCCAAGCAGGCTGTAAGTGGCAGGAAGGTCTAGTCGGCTAAAGAGTGCAGTGTAATGGTGGAGGTGACTCAACATTTTCTTCAATGGCCGAGAGTTCTCTAGCGCACTCTGGAATAATATTGTTGATGTAAGACTCTATTTTACTGACTTGTAAACTTTTGTACACACTTTTTCTGGGTGAAAAAATGCATGCAAAGCAACCCCACGCTGTGTCTCTCATGTTTGTGGTGTGCGATCAAGTGGTCCATATGTGGATAGAGGACATACAGAGTGGCAGAATGAGACCATGCACAATTCAAAACTCGGCACAGCAACGGAATTATAGCCTTTTGTTACTTTCATGTAAAATTATTACAAAATCACCTCGTACCGAGCCGGAGGACTATCATTTGTGATATTTTTTAGTAATAATTATGTAAAAAATGTTCACGGTTCACGTGAAACTTGGCTGCAGGCCGAGGTTTCCGCAATGGTAGGAACGCCACCACAGGATCAAGGCTGCCTGAAAAGAGGAAAAATGCCAGATCCACCAGGACTCGAACCCGGGACCTTGCTTGTCATGAGCAATGTTCTAACCATCTGAGCTATGGGACCAACGTTGATATAGTTGCATAAATTAAATAGATCTATAGCATTTATGTACAGGAAATACACTGTTTCGTTAGGTCCCCACTTTCCGTACATTTTATCCCACGCATCTGACTTCCCGGTATATTTGCTAACGTGTGTACCCTGTACCCTGTACGCATAGCTCCCGTGTTATCGTATTGCCGCTGGCCTGGGTTGCTGCACACATGATCACCACCCTAATTCGTCATAGCTACCCAGACCCTATGCCTAATTGTCGCCAATCCTGAGTAGCCAATCTCCACTGCTACCCTATCGCACCCTTCATTTGACACTCTCCTTTCACTCCTATCATATATTTGATTATTTGCTATTTTCTGCTGTGTTCCAAAATTAGATCCTTTCCTTCGTTCTAAATCTTCCATTTTCTCCCGTGCTTTTTTCCCCTCATGCTTATGCTTCCCTCCCGAATTTGGTGCGCCTGCCATGTGAAGATGCCGAGACCACTGGTCGGTTGAGCATGACAAGCCCCACCAGCACCATCTCACCCCATGCTAGCGCCATGTGCCTGCCGGTGAGTTGTGTATTTTGTAAAAAAAATTAAAAAACCTAGCCTTCCATTGCACTTCCTCAAACTATCTCACGCTCTTGCTCTCAGTCTGCATGTAATTGTTCGTCCCGCTGTCTCAACCCTCGTCGTTTAGCCCAATATTAATGTATTCCTCAGCCTACCTCGCCCCCAGGCATGCTGTGAGTTTTGAGAATGGGGATTAATTCAGAGGACTCAACAGTTTGAATAGAGGTTAGACTCTTGGCTAATACAATGATAATAGGTGATGCTTTCATCTTCAACTTCTTTAGTCAAAAAATTCGCACAGGATTCTTTTCCGAAACAAGAGTGGTGACATGGAACATTTCACCTACCTCAAAGCCATGCACATACACGGCTCGAACTGCTAATGTGCGTCCTCTCTCCAGCGGTAACGCGCTCACTGCCCAGCCAGCGTCTGGATACCCAATGCCCTCTGCAGGGAACAAGGCAAAATGTAGGTTTGCAAAACCTCAACATTGAACTTACCAGTCCTCGACATCCATTGCGCATATTATACATTTGAGCTCCGTGAAATCCGACTCAGAGTGAAAAACTGGTGCCCAGGACCAGTTCCGGTTACATTCTTGTATTGTACATGATTGTGTTCATGTACGTCCAGCTGAATTTGTGTCACTTCCAGTGTGTCAAGGGCCGTGCAAGTTGAGGTCTCCAAATACGCACTCTGGGTCGGATTTCACAGAGCGCAACTGTACAAAGCCTCATCACTCGAACTGCGTGTACAGTGCGCTTACGATAATTATTGTATATACATGTACTTTGGTATACTGGCGCAAAACAATTTGCTCATAGAGGAAGATAAAAGTGAAAGCATCTCACCGCCTTGAAATTTCACATGTCCAGTATTTTTCGGCGCTGCGACCTTACCAGAACAAGCCGAGATTTCTCCCTGAAAAAGCGCTGAGTGCAGAGCATCCGGTAAATTTCGTCATAATTATGGAAACGGAACTTTCGGTCCCGAGGGCACGAACATCTCCTCGATGTGATATTCTAGAATTTGACCTAGTCACGCTGAAAAACAATGCACTATTGATTCTCCCATCGGAAGTATTCAAACTTGTTCCACAGAATCAGGGTCTGGGTTCGAGGGAGTGAAGTAACTCATTTAGGTTAAAATCTGCACTTGCACCTAGATACGAGTGTGAACGGTTCTAGCCAGGAAAAAATCGTGACGAGGGGGGGGCAGGGGAAACAAACAGTTTACCCATTTTTCCATGTTTCACTATCACCTTGTCACACAAAATGCAACGTATGGGTGTAGCAAGCACCCGGAATGATCGATTTGAGGCCGCTTTTTTCGTTGAGTGAACTGAAAATACACAGAATCTAAAAATGAGTAGGGTAGTGTGCTATCAGAGTAGGGGGGGGGGGGAGTAGCAATCCCCGCCCCCCCCCCCCTCCCTCCAACTCCTTTGACAAGAACCCTGGTGCTGATATGGATGTTGACGCGAGTGTTGATACAAGTGCAGTAATCCATTACAGCATGGCTGACCCTGGTGCACATGAAGACATTCGTTACTCCAAATCATCATTGGCCGAGTCACTATCCAGTGCATGTGCCACGAGAGAGGGAGTTCAATCACTACATTCATTATTCATTGCTTTGAGGGACCGTTGCAAACGGGAAAAGTGTGAAGAAAAAATTGACTGTCAACACCAGGACTCAAATCAGGGACCCTCACTTAAGGCCAGCAATGCTCTACCACTAAAGCCGCTGTCAGTCTGCACACTTTTCAGACATTCATTTCCGCCTTTTCCATGGCTTCGGCTTAATTCTGCAGCTTTTCCGCTGAGCGTCTTTCAGCCAAAGGCTGAATGCCGCCAGCGTTACGAAACCACAAGCTCTCAAGTGTGAAAGGCCTTCTCGCTTGTGACGTTGTGTTTGTTTCAATGCAGTGGTATCTCGACACCGCCGTACCGCTGATGTTTGAATACGCTACATGCACTATGTGCGATTTGCTGTGTGCGCTGTAGTTGTATGCAGTACGTGTATGCGTTTCTCATATAGGCTGTCATATTCACTCTATAACTACCGGGTGGTTTTAGTGTTAGTTATTATGTTGGATCGAAGTGAAATATACTGTTGAAGAGCAAATAGTTGTCCTCGTGCCGTGTGGTCGTTCGTTCCTGACAATTAAGAGAATTAAAGGGTTCGCAACAGCCAGACACATTCAGCCGCAGCGTTTTGCTTTTCAGTTGGACTGTCTTTCTCCCGTGGTGTTTTCACGTCCTTTTCAATGGGAGTGTCCTGTTCACAATATCTACCAGTGACGGGTTTAGGGCCCCCCCCCCCCCTCAAAAGTTTCGACTTAGGTTTCGAAAAATAAAAGGCAGGGCCCAGGGGCTAGCTAGCTAGGCTAGGCTCGGGGCGCGCGCGCGCGGCCTGAAACGATCGTCCAAATGCGGTTGCACGGTACGGTGCGCACACGTGCTCGAGCTGGTGTTGATTGCACACACTACAGACTAGTGCAGTACAGTCTACAGACTAGTGCAGTACAGTCTACAGTCTACAGAGTACAGTGAGCATGCACTGCTACAGAGAAACACGGTGACCTGACTGTGTAGATCTACACTGACGTCTGTACTGCTGTACAGTGTGATGCCAGTGCTGGGACGCGCTCGACGCGTCTTCAACGTACAAACATCGAAGAAAAATCTTCGAGTCAACCAAAACACAATTCGAATGCCGAGGGCTCAGGCGATCATCCTCGTTCGAATCGTGTTTTGGTTGACTCGAAGACTTTTCCTCGATGTCTCAGCGACATCCCAAAAGGCCAAGCTCTAGCCAGCAGAGCCTGGATTTTTTATAAAGCGTTCCTGTGGCGGCGCAACTCCTGCTGCCGCTCCAACAGGAAACAGTGGGAGTGATGAAGTCGCTGCTATTCCAGTTGAACTTTCTGAGCGGACTGACAGTCACACTCGGCCAGACGTGGAAGCACCTGTTGTCAGCGAGCAGCCAGAACATGAAGAACAGCGCACAGTGACAAGTGGACATAGTACCGCTGCCTATGTAAAGGATGCTTTGAGCGGTGAGAAATTGTTGGACTTGCATAAATTGCAGTTGATTCGCTCGCATAACGGCAAATTTGAAGTTTACAAATGTACAATGTTGCTGCGTGTGCAGAAATACTGCGCGTGGTGTGTGAGATTTACGGCTTCTTGACATCGGTTTTCAAAATGGCTGACCTGGGACAGAAGCATGATGTCATTTACCCCCACCCCATCCCGGCCGCAACCCCCACCCCCTCCCCTCAGCCAAGTCCTGGACACGCCACTGTCTACTGACTCAAGGACTCTGCAGCCGGAGGCGATACCTGTTGTGAAGCTGACAATTGTTCTTTCAAGACGCGAAACATCAAAACTTAGAAGTTTTTATGGTCGTCGTCAGCTGGGGGAAGATTAGAAATTTGTTGCAAAAGAGCAAGGCTCTCGTTGGTTACAGCTGGATCATTTTCCTTTTGAAAAGAACTCATGAAGGAGCTTGTATTGAGAGAACTCTCAAAACTAGTGTCAGTCTTTCAGTTGGCACTGAGAATGCAGTGTGACCAGACAGTCAGCTGAATGATGCTGAAAGCGCAACAAGCGTTTCAGCCAAAAGCTCTTGTAGTGTGACCAGACAGTCAGCGAAGTGGTGGTGAAAGCGCAACAAGCATTTCAGCTGGTCAGCCAAAAGCTCTTGCAGTGCGGCCGCGGCCTAAGCTATGGTATAGTTGTCATCTAAGCAGCGACCCTTCAACATGTTCTTCAGACTTCGAAACTTACCCTTCCAGTGAATCCATGCAGGCAGGTCGGACACACGCCACTCTGCAATCACAACACACATACAATACACCGCCACATGGTACTTTCATTGTAACTGCTTATAGACATGATGTATCTAATCATACACGGTCTGTCGGGCTTGATGGCTGAATCATGCCTGAGCTCCCATAGGGCATAATTCAGCCAGCAAGCCCGACAGACCGTGTATGATTGGATTTCTTACTTGACCCATGCGCACGCACGTGTATGATTGGATTTCTTTTTTGACCCATGCGCACGCACGGAACGTAGCCTACTCAAACATTGAAACAAGCCAAAGACTAGCACAGTTCGGCGAAAAGTCACTCTGCACTAGTCACAGCCAGAACACACGAAGTAACAAGAGTCAAGAAGACAAGCGACATTCCTTTCTACATGCACTTCCACTTCTTTCTTCAAAACCCGCGCCTTGTCACATTATTGGCTACATCTCGTTGCCACTTGACCACGGGCATGATTGTCAATCATACCTGAAGTGACGTCAGTGTTGCCAAGGGCAGCGGGCATGATGGCTGAATCATGCCCGCGGCGGGAAAGGTGGTGATTAGACAATTCCTAGGACACGGTCACGTGTCATGTAAGAAATCATATTATTTCCCACACTGTTGATACTTGATCATACCCAATGCTGTAGACAGCAAGCTGTTTCGGCCATAAAGGCCTCATCAGTACAGCTACGATCTTAAAGCACGTCGAGCTACCAGCCATGGTGCAAAGGAGGCACCACAGACATTAAGATAGCTCGTCGCTCTAGCGCCAGAGTGCTCTAACTACAAAACGTAGCGGGCAATACGTAATACAGCAGCACTAGAGCAGCCTGCCGAGAGTGCTCAACAATACATTTACCCAGTAGGTAGTACATGACCAGTGGCGGATCCGGGGGGGGGGGGGGGTCCTGGGGTTCCACGAGTACCGCGAAACCCCCTAAATTTTGCAAAGGTCACTGCTGAGAAAAATCGAAAGTATCATGCATGCAGAAAACGTCATGAGTCTGATCACTGTGCAGTGGAGGAGTATAGTATCACACACGCAGTACATCGATACTGTACTGGCGTTCATATCCATGATTTACACAGACTGGAAAGCAGTGTAGTGTAGATCTATATACGATCACATGTGACCATGTTCAGTGAAACCTGTCTAAGACGACAACTCAAGGAACGAGAAAAAGTGGTCACCTTGGCCAGGTGGTCTTCTTATCCAGGTTCAGTGAGTCACGTGAACATATTCACTATACCTGTACATGCGATATATCATATTGATCAGTGCATCACACTGCACACGCCTGTGTGTGCCATAGCTTAGGCCGCGGTCGCACTGCAAGAGCTTTTGGCTGACCAGCTGAGATGCTTGTTGCGCTTTCACCATCACTCTGCTGACTGTCTGGTCACACTGCAAGAGCTTTTGGCTGAAACGCTTGTTGCGCTTTCAGCATCATTCAGCTGACTGTCTGGTCACACTGCATTCTCAGTGCCAACTGAAAGACTGACAACAGTTTTGAGATTTCTCTCCATACAAGCTCCTTCATGAGTTCTTTTCAAAAGGAAAATGATCCAGCTGTAACCAACGAGAGCCTTGCTCTTTTTGCAACAAATTTCTAAGCTTCCCCCAGCTGACGACGACCATAAAAACGTTTAATTTTGATGTTTCGCGTCTTGAAAGAACAATTGTCAGCTTCACAACAGGTATCTGCAGAGTCCTTGAGTCAGTAGACAGTGGCGAGTCCAGGACTTGGCTGAGGGGGGGGGGGGGGGGGGGGTTGCGGCCGGGATGGGGTGGGAGTAAATGACATCATGCTTCTGTCCCAGGTCAGCCATTTTGAAAACCGATGTCAAGAAGCCGTAAATCTCACACACCACGCGCAGTATTTCTGCACACGCAGCAACATTGTACATTTGTAAACTTCAAATTTGCCGTTATGTGAGTGAATTAACTGCAATTTATGCGAGTCCAACAATTTCTCACCGCTCAAAGCATCCTTTACATAGGCAGCGGTACTATGTCCACTTGTCACTGTGCGCTGTTCTTCATGTTCTGGCTGCTCACTGACAACAGGTGCTTCCACGTCTGGCGGAGTGTGACTGTCAGTCCGCTCCGAAAGTTCAACTGGAATTACGGCGACTTCATCACTCCCACTGTTTCCTGTTGGAGCGGCAGCAGGAGTTGCGCCGCCACAGGAACGCTTTATAAAAAATCCAGGCTCTGCTGGCTAGAGCTTGGCCTTTTGGGATGTCGCTGAGACATCCAAGAAAAGTCTTCGAGTCAACCAAAACACGATTCGAACGAGGATGATCGCCTGAGCCCTCGGCATTCGAATCGTGTTTTGGTTGACTCGAAGACTTTTCTTCGATGTTTGTACGTTGAAGACGCGTCGAGCGCGTCCCAGCACTGGCATCACACTGTACAGCAGTACAGACGTCAGTGTAGATCTACACAGTCAGGTCACCGTGTTTCTCTGTAGCAGTGCATGCTCACTGTACTCTGTAGACTGTAGACTGTACTGCACTAGTCTGTAGACTGTACTGCACTAGTCTGTAGTGTGTGCAATCAACACCAGCTCGAGCACGTGTGCGCACCGTACCGTGCAACCGCATTTGGACGATCGTTTCAGGCCGCGCGCGCGCCCCGAGCCTAGCCTAGCTAGCTAGCCCCGGCGCCCTGCCTTATATTTTTCGAAACCTAAGTCGAAACTTTTGAGGGGGGGGGGGGGCCCTAAACCCGCCACTGGTAGATATGGTGGACAGGACACTCCCATTGCTACTATCACGAATCATGTGCCTGAGGGACTCACACCTGTCAAGTGTCATACATGCACCATGTACATCTACACTTCCTGCGCTGATGTGTAGATGTACCATGTGTGATGCATATTGAAATGCGTGCATGTACATATACTTCGTAGGGTGTAGCGCGGTCGCGGGTGGGTGGTCGTTGGTCGCATTGAGCGAGTGGTCGCCTTATCCGAGCTGTTTTGAATGTGAATTCGTCCGTGACAAGGAAAAGTGGTCGCCATGGTCGAGTGGTCGCCATATCCGAGTGGTCGCCATTACAGGTTTTACTGTAGATATGCCAGCTACCAGTGCTTCGAGGTGGCCGCGCTCCACGAGCAGTTGCTTTGTATGCTCTACCACCATGCCACAGGCCAAGGCGACCGACTGTGGGTGGTTGCTCCCTTTTCCAACTTTCAAAACGATCCAAACGAACCTTCATTGGCGCTGTCCTTCGCTTTAGTTGGAGTGTAGTCAGTATTCCTTGCAATGGTTTTTGATAATGAGAAAGGATGTTCCCAAAGATGACACTCTTCAAGCCAGAAATGAGAACTTAGAATCTTGCCGCTCAAGCTGCTCAGAAGACGAGGGCCCGACATCCAAGTGACGTCGATAATCTTTACCTGCTGCGGCATGCAGCAGTGGCTACCGGTAGTTGGTCCTCCGTGGGAACAGAGTGCTGCACCAGCGGTGTGTTTTAGACGACATTGGATGGATTATCGACAACGTTTTTGTTTTGTTTCTGTCAAGTGAAGAAATGCTCGTTTGATTAACGAGACTTTCTCATCGCAAAATGCTATAAATTTTCCACAGTAGAAACAAACGAGGAAAGTGATCATTTCGGTATTCCAGGCTCTCAACATACCAATGGGTTGCATATTCTTCACAAGAATTTGAAAAGTTATTCAGGTGCTCACTGAAGCTGTGTGCCAGTAGATTGCATTTGATGTAATTTTGTCCATTCTTTTCTTTTCTCGTAGTGCTTTAACCCTTTGCGGTGCATCAGTCATTAAAGTCTGATACAGGTTCATTGCCACCTCAAAGGGTTAAATTGGTACCTCAAAGGGTTAAACTTTCCCTGCAGGAACCTTTCAGTTCGTCATAGCATGAAATTCCAACTAAAACAATTGGACTGTTGTAATTGCAATGGCACAACTTCAATACAATCTGATTCCATAATTATGCTTATACTTCGAAGTACAGGTCTGCTCTCGACAACTCTCACTTGTACATAAACCTCGCTAGTACGCAAAAAATTCAAATCCCGCGCCGAACCAGCATCACTCCCATACAAATTTTGTTCTACACAACATAATCCTACATAACATAAACCTCGACATAACACACGCTACGGCACGGTCCCCGACGTGCGCACTCTCGATACAACGTAAATTCACGTGCACGGTACGATCAAGCGGCAGCTGTAGCTAGCCAGTTTAGGCCAGTTTAGTCATACATAACGTAAACCTCGGCATAACGCACCCTACGGCGCGGTCCCCGTCATGCGCACTCTCGATACAACGTAGATCTACGTGCGTGGTACAATCAAGCTGTAGCCGTAGCTAGCACTATAGCCAGTCTAGTCCTATTGTGCATATATTCTGCGGATGATATCTGATGTCGATGGTGGTACAGTGTGTATATGTTAGCACGGTTGAATCTGCCTTGTAATATCCTTCATTTTGAGGTACATCTTGTATTTTTCACACGACTTTCTACATAACATAACTCTCGATATAACATAATTTTTGCGTGGTCCCAGAGATTACGTTATATGGAGAGTAGACCTGTATTGGGTATTGAATTTTGGTTAAACCGGATCCCCCCCCCCCCCCCCCATGACTGTAATATCAGATTAATTTTGTAGGACCTTACAAATATCTCTATGCACAAGTGTGAAATCTTACCAGAACTCGTAGCCAATCGTCCCGAATCAGAGATCTCCACGTTTGGACTATGCCAGTCCGGGTGGAAGCCCTGCTCCATCTGGAATCTCTCACTGGGAGTCCTACAATGCCATCGTCAAGCACAATAGTCTTGAAATAATTGGGCTGCGTGGGCAGACCCAGAACTCTGGCAGGGAAACATGTCTACGTAGCGGAGGTTTCTGCGCACGAAGAAACACATAGTTCGCTATTACGGCTGGAGATAAGTGGCACTTCTTCGCCGGCCCAGCTCCGAGGTCAGAACCGTTGATTACTCCTTGAAGAACATTCATGAAGTGGGGCAGGTCGCCGCTGCTCGACACGCTGAGTGGATCTACTATGGACAGTATGGTTAGGTACATGTAGTAAGCAAGTCAATACAATGTCATGTACTGTCAAAAATGAGGAAAGGCTGGCGAAACAATTGATGCTTTTCTTTTACTTGTTTTAGCTACTAAGTACAGTAAAACCTGTAATGCCTAATCATGTAATGCCTTGATTATGTCGTAATGAGTAGTGGTGACCACTTGGATATGGCATGGCGACCACTCGACCATGGCGACCACCACTCGACCATGGCGACCACTCGACCATGGCGACCACTCGACCATGGCGACCACCACTCGACCATGGCGACCACTCGACCATGGCGACCACTCGACCATGGCGACCACTCGACCATGGCGACCACTCGACCATGGCGACCACTCGACCATGGCGACCACTCGACCATGGCGACCACTCGACCATGGCGACCACTCGACCATGGCGACCACTCGACCATGGCGACCACTCGACCATGGCGACCACTCGACCATGGCGACCACTCGACCATGGCGACCACTCGACCATGGCGACCACTCGACCATGGCGACCACTCGACCATGGCGACCACTCGACCATGGCGACCACTCGACCATGGCGACCACTCGACCATGGCGACCACTCGACCATGGCGACCACTCGACCATGGCGACCACTCGACCATGGCGACCACTCGACCATGGCGACCACTCGACCATGGCGACCACTCGACCATGGCGACCACTCGACCATGGCGACCACTCGACCATGGCGACCACTCGACCATGGCGACCACTCGACCATGGCGACCACTCGACCATGGCGACCACTCGACCATGGCGACCACTCGACCATGGCGACCACTCGACCATGGCGACCACTCGACCATGGCGACCACTCGACCATGGCGACCACTCGACCATGGCGACCACTCGACCATGGCGACCACTCGACCATGGCGACCACTCGACCATGGCGACCACTCGACCATGGCGACCACTCGACCATGGCGACCACTCGACCATGGCGACCACTCGACCATGGCGACCACTCGACCATGGCGACCACTCGACCATGGCGACCACTCGACCATGGCGACCACTCGACCATGGCGACCACTCGACCATGGCGACCACTCGACCATGGCGACCACTCGACCATGGCGACCACTCGACCATGGCGACCACTCGACCATGGCGACCACTCGACCATGGCGACCACTCGACCATGGCGACCACTTTTCCTTGTCATGATCACCATGATCATGATCACCAGATCACGGACGCATTCACATCAATCATGTCAGGGAGTCGTAAATACGGTATTTTTACGACTCCCTGATTCACATTCAAAACAACTCGGATATGGCGACCACTCGGTCAACGCACCCGGCCCCCCGACTGGGTACAATCATGACAGTCATGATGTACACTACTAGTAGTAGATTTACACGTCATTCCGGTAGTGCTAGTAGATCCACTACTACCATTAAAGGGGAAGTGCATCGATTTTTCGAGTATGGTCCGGAAGAAAGACAATTTGATATCGGTTCGAATGGCATATCTCTCGCTTCCATACGATAAGCTAAACTTGCCAAATCGCCAATTGTATACTCACGTTGCCATAGCGACCAGCGCAGCGATGACGTACGAAAGGCTTAGCTCCACCACAGAGAAGGTCAATCACTGCAGAATTTGGTCATTTTCAATTGGTTTATTGTATTCACGAAGTGAAAGAAGGGCTGTGTTCAATGCTGTTAGTGCAGGGAACTGTTTGTTAGTAGTCCTCTCGATTGTGTACTGGGACGTGACACCGATAGGAGAAAGCTGGAGTGCGGCGACACCAGCAGACAAGCGAAAATAGTGACGAACAAAATGCTGAAATCTTGGTTGGGACAAATCAGACGTTCAGCATTTCCCCCAACCAAGGACCATGCCGTTTGCTCTTTCCACTTCCTGAAGATGAATGTGATGCTTCCTGGCGACTCTCCTATCTCTCGTAACATCTTCTGAAGCCAGGTGAGACGACGGGTGGTGGAGATTGACGAATGAAATAATGTCGTAGGTTTAAAAGTTTGCTGAAAATGTCTCAGGAGAGATGCCGAATTCCAAGCATCTTGTCCTGGAGGAAACCATTTCCTAGGCACAGTCAGCCTAGGAAAATGCATGAGAAGGGCGATAAACAGTTCACGGCACTAACAGCATTGAACACAGCACTTCTTTCACATCGTGAATACAATAAGACAATTGAAAATGACCAATTTCTGCAGTGATCGACCTTCTCTGTGGAGGAGCTAAGCCTTTCGTACGTCATCACTGCGCTGGTCGCTATGGCAACGTGAGCATACAATTGGCGATTTGGCAAGTTTGGCTTATCGTATGGAAGCGAGAGATATGCCATTCGAACCGATATCAAATTGTCTTTCTTCTGGACCCTACTCGAAAAATCGATGCACTTCCCCTTTAATATACTCTTGCTACTACAGACTAGAGTACTGTACTAGTGTAGTACTAGTACTAGTACTCAGTACTACTACTGTAGTAGTCCGTCTTCTACTGCTACTACTAGCTCTGCTCTGAGTCTAGACTATGGGCTTGAAAGTGCTACGTCACAGCATAGCAACAATTTCAAAAATACAAAAACTGGATCCACTTGGATCCACTCAAGCCGTCTTACTCACCGCAGGGCCGGGTGATGTAGCCAGTGAAACTGACTGATTTGGCTACTGGGGGCGGGGTTACAACTGGTGTCGAAGTAAAAGTCACACCTGCATACGACATGAGTGGGTTGCTATGCACCCACATACTGAGGCATTGTTACTATGCTGTGACGTAGCACTTTCAAGCCCTACAGTAGGCTACTCTGCAAGATGCTTCGTACTGACGCGAAAGCCTCTGACTGAGCAGCTACGTTTCGCTTTCAGGAGTTCATGTTGATCCTTGCTATTGCGTCTTCCTATCTTCTCCACCAACTGTTTCCTACTCAGTAACTGCACAAAGTCTAGTGAGTGTTGGCCAATTCGACGTAAATATCAAAGTTTTGCTGTAGCTTCTTGATCTGACGGTGTTGCTGGCTGCAAACTCGACTGCTGGGCGAGTGCTGTAAGCCCTAGGTCTAACTAGGGTCGGAAAAGGAGGACTACAACACAAGCTTTTCTCTATCTGCTTAGTCGTCGGTGCCGTGGTGGCGCCCTTTGCCGGCTTTGGCCTGCTGAACTAGGTAAACGATTTTCGTTTTTATCCTCTTCGAAATGCATTGTATTCGAATTTGTTCTGCAATATTCCACGCCATATTAAAATAATTATTATGATAAGGCATGAACTACTGTGCTGGTTTAGACATCACCCTGGGCTTGCGTAAGGCGGCATGGGTTTCCACAAGAGTATGGGCTTGCACAAATGCACGGGCTTGCACAAGAGCTTGGGTGTGCATGAATGCACGGGCTTGCACCCGGCCACAATGCAAGCTACTAGTGTGCGGGGAAAAATAACTTGTAAATGTTCGTCTAGAGGATAGTGCGAAGTCTAAAAGGTAAGGGGTGAAAAAAAGTGTGAGAGAAGAAGAAAGAAATACCACTAAGAAGAAGAAGAAAGATCTAAGAGTGTTCCAACGGCGTGAACTAAAACCAAAGTCCTGTTTCTTTTTGCCAGGGACAGCACCTATAGTTACACACTAAGTTGGGGATGATGTACTCATGTCATCGCGTGTGGCGAGGGCAAGTAATAGCTACATTGCTTCCGCACATGCTCTCTTGTTCAACATAAAATGTGCATGTACAGTTCCGTTTGATAAAATCCGACCAAGAGTGCATATTTGGCACCCTAAACTACCACGCCCTTGACACACTGAAAGTGGCACGAACACAGCTGGACGTACACATGTACAATACACAATGACGTAGTCGGAACTGGTCCAGGCTGTCAGCTTTGCACTTCGCGTCGGATTTCAGCGAGCACAACTGTAGTACTAGTACAGGGCCACTGTGTACCAGGTACACCGAGTTGTACCACCACGTACAACTCACCGTGTACCAGGTACATCGAGTAGTACCACCACGTACAACTCACCATGTACCAGGTACATGGAGTTGTACCACCACGTACAACTCACCATGTACCAGGTACACCGAGTTGTACCACCACGTACAACTCACCGTGTACCAGGTACACCGAGTTGTACCACCACGTACAACTCACCGTGTACCAGGTACAGCGAGTTGTACCACCACGTACAACTCACCGTGTTCTAACACAGGCTAGATCTACTACTGTAAAGTGAGAAACTTTTGATAGAGATTAAATTTCGCTATTTCCGCGACCATCACACATTCGCGAATATAAATCGCAGCAAACCTCTCCGTGTATTGATTGTAGACAGTAAAAGATCCGACTGAAGACATAGAATCGCAAACGTTTCTCAGCGTGAACCAGCCCGATTTATGAAAACGCTAAATTTTCACGCCGCGAAAGTTTGTAGCTTTACAGTATCAATATCAAGGAAGTGTAGAATAGAGTGAAGATCGGATATAACAACCTTGCATATAACAACCTTGCATATAACAACCTTGCATATAACGACAGATTGAGTTGAGCGACACAATTCCGTTGCCCAATTCGTTTAGTAAGTCCTTTGCGAAGATCAGGTTTAGTGACAGATCGAATATAATGACATTTTTGTTCTCTTCCAAAGGAGTGTCGTCATATCCAATCCCCACTGTACATGATGTACAGAGATAGAGAAGGATAAAGAAAGAAGCCTCCAAAGACAGCGAAAAAAACCCAGAAAGAAACGAAAAGAGCCATCCAGTTGCCTTGTCATCGTAGTTAAGTTCGTGGTCTAAAAT